AGCAAGACAGCCCGTATAAACAAAAAAAACTGGCAAAACCCCTACCGTAATCTTAGCACCATGATAAAAACGGTCACCATTTAGAGAATTTTGTAAGTAATAAAACAAGATGTTGATATTCATTTTTAAAAACTAAACAGTAAGAGCTTGACAAAAAATGAAAATTCTTGTTGTTAAGATGTCATTAACCGTCGAAACAAGCTCTTCTGTGCTCATTACTCTCTGAATCTGCATGAGGCAACCCCTGGCTCTTCCTTTTCCAAAGCTACCCTTTGATAGGCTTGGGTACTGGGGTGCAATATGCCAGTGGCGGAAATTTAGGCTTTCATTTCGGGGGCCCAGGCCTACGATTTTCCGACAAGATGACATCATGGACCCATCATGGACCATGTCTAATTTTAAAGAAACTGCACATTTTGATAAAAATAGTTGATTTTTCAACGGGACTCTTTAGAAATCTTTGCTGATCACGCCACAATTAAGTAGCAAGAAGAACAATCCATTTATGATTTTGGATATCAAGATCGATATCTCATCTAAGACAATTTATGATACAAGAGGTAGACCGACTACACTTTTGACAAGTCGTTCATGATAACAACATGATTGTAATTGTAAAATTCATTTTATGCATTTTATCTTGTTTTCGTCAGTGAGAAATACGTTTGAAAATAACTTTTTATTTGTTCAGATCAATCCGATGAAAATTTTGGCCAATCTTTACGGAATTGAAATTAAAAATACAATTCATAAGCAGTTTTGATTTCGGTCATATATTGTTGATTGATTATTTAGTACTGGCTAATATTTTATCAGCTTTGCTATGTTCAAATTTTGCAAAAAGGGCACAGAGAGGTAACAGCGGCCCCTGGGGTAAAAAAGGAAAATGCAGATTACCTGCGAGCAAAGCGAGCGATGGCAATTACACCCTTAGATTAGCTTAAAAGTCCTTTTCAGAACGATTTCTTGGAGTAATTTCGACACGTTAAACGGTTGACAATTATCCGACGAAAGCCCGATTTTCCAATGACATCGCTGATTGGGGGGGAGGGGGGGCTGTTTTGTCTAAATAAGCCCTTACACTTAATAGAGAAAGGGGCGAGACAGCTTATGCGGAAACTATTCAATGAAACACTTGACACACGAATAGCACACGAATAGCAAACAATCTATGCGAGTATTGGCTGCAAATTGATGGAACCGGCTTTTTAGTTCTTGATGCTTGCAGTTATAAAAATTTTTCAAATCGAAAAGTTTCTTAGAGACTTCGTTTTTAGTAGTATAAGTTCTTTAAATATTTCGGCCTTCTACATGTAGGTTCTATATAAAGTGGTTCCTTATAACAAAAAAAGCGTGTATTGGACATCATATGTGATCAGAATAAATTTCAAAATTTAGAAAATTCAACAAACACGAACCTCTTTAACAGAAGGCAACTTGACGTGAAAATATACATCTGGCAACATTGTTCCTCGATGTAACTGCAAAAGAATGTAGAATAATGTTTGGAAGTGACTGATGAATGAACCGAAAATTCTCTTTCAATCAATGAGGGAAATTATGTCACCGCAATCAGGGGCGTCACTTCATACTTTTTGTTGGGGGAGGCGGTGGCTGCATGTTTGCCCTGCAGAAAAAATTTGCCCTGGCAAAAGTTGGAAGTGCTGGGAACTGGCCCTCACTTCCCGTAACACTAAAATACTTCTTAAGGAAAGTTGTTCCCGCTTAGGTCCTTGCTCAGTGTGTCCACAAGTTCACCGACGTGTTTGCTTAACCTTGGGGAGTGAGGCAACCCCCCCATCCTGGATTCAAAGAGCATGCGCTCATTTTTTACAACACACTTTCGATATACACCCTAGCATTTCACAAGATGAGGGTATCAAAGCTTCCCTCAGCGCCATAAAAAATCATTGTGGGGAAGCTACCCTGCTACAAATTAAGAACAACCTGAGGCGGAGATTCTGTAAAATGTAACTTTGAACAATGTTTCTTCTCAAAAACGAGGAGTTTTTTGCCATTTTGGGATACCTTTTCGGTGAATATTCAAACATGGCGGAAAATGAAGGTTTTCTCACGCACATTGTTAGCAAATGAGACCTGGACACCTCCCTAGAGCGAAAAGATAGCAATCGCACTGCTTATACCCTATGAATTTAAAAACAAATTAAGAGCAATTCAGCCTCAGATTTTCGAAAAAGTTAAGAACAACCAGCCTGAACCTCAATTTACTGACTCTTATAAGGAAGAGTGTAATGGTGAATTTTATTAACCTCCCTTAAGGCACCGCAATGGGGACACTCTTTGCCCCAAATTATGCCAACATATTGATGACAACAATAGAACAACACATCTTGAGAAATGCCCCGATGGGGCGTAGTCGAATATTTTGGAAATGATTTTTCGACATCATAATCTTCATCTGGCAAAAACAAGCTTGAAAACCTACAGGAATTTATACAATACACCCTATATCATCCACAAAAGATAGATATAAAACCGTATATAGTGGACGCCCTTCTTAAAGTCACGCTTCTGGTTACAGTCAAAGGACCCAAATATGCAAAACAATTCATCAAATTTTGACCCAAATAGCCCCGTTTACAGTGTCTTAGTTTTCTGGCAAGCGGTGCTTGTCTTTTTAGTATGGTCTTTAAATAAGACAAGGTTTTTAAATAAGATTAGTTTTTTAAATAGAAATCTAGACCTCCTCAAGTGACGCCCCTGACCGCAATGCTGAATGCAAGTGCAAATCGTCTGTCAAATTTTGTTCAGTAGCAAGAGTTGTTACAAAGAGGAGCGAATGTGCACTCTTTTTTAAGAACAAGTAAATTGAAGTTCAGTCTGGCTGATTTCTTAATTTGTTCTTAAATGATAAGCGCGTAAGCAGTGCTAGCTATTGCGTTCTACGGAGTACGGAGGTGAGGCCTCGTTTGCCATTCTTTATTTGCCGAAAAATTTGAAAATTCACTAAAAAAGCCCCTAGATGGCAGAAAACTCCTCGTTTTTGAGATAAAACATTGTTCAAAACAACAACATTAGCTCATACCTAAGCTTGTTTTAAATTTGTTATAAATTTTTTACTAATTTTGAGCGCATTTAACTTTTAGCGGTAGACGGCTTTGCCTTTTTGGTATGAAATATCTGACATGCAGGGTTGTATAATCAATATAAAAGCATGTTTAGCCCAGGGGCCTTAACGTAACCGCTAGTAGCAATGAGAATATCCGAGCAAAAACTACAGACTGGCCTGAAGCGATCCTTGCCGCACTTCAAACTGGCCTCTTGTGCAATTTGCATTCAATTCAATGATATATATCAGTGTTTCATTTTGTGTCCTTCAACAGTGCAGAATCCACTTCATATCTATTAAAGGTGCTATGGCAACCTTAATAAACAGTTTCTAACCGACAAAAAGCTGCCGATTTGAAAATACTCTGCACTGCAATACAAAGGAAACAGGCTATAGTCTCAAGTGGGAGAATATTTTCCTTGAAAAAATAATGAACGTGGGCGAAATGCAGCTCTCTTAAACAACGTGTTTTTAGCATTTGCGGACAGGTTTGCATAAATTACAAAAAATAAAAGGATAGCAATATAAGAATATTTCTTTGATTTCATGTCATTATGTATGATTGCAGGAGCTGAATGGGAAGTATCTTTTCAACGATGTGAGCAACTAGCTCATAACGAAGTACTCAGGAAAAAGTGCAGATAATCCTAAATTTTTGAGCAAAATGCGGTACTATTCAGTTTAGGTCGGAAAATTCAATAGTATCGCTGTTAATATTTGTTTAACCTCGATTCTAGTAAAAATTTGTCCAGTGAAAAGTTACCGCTGATCGACTTCTTCATATTACCGCTGCCCACCTCATTGCCGCTGCCCCATATTACGGCGCTCTGCACCACCCTGGCTCCATAGTTGTGCGGACACTGCGCGATAGGGGCACCGG